AGAGAGAGAGAGAGAGAGAGAAGGAGAGAGAGAAAGATAGAGATAGATAGATAGATAGATGGATAGAGAGAGAGAGAGAAAGAAAGCTAGATAGATTGATAGATAGATAGAGAGAGAAAGAGAGAAAGAGAGAAGGTGTGTTATCAGCATTTAAATCACTTACATGGGCCTAAATTCCTACTCTGGTTCCTCATAAGAACGGCCACGTAATATTCTATGTAGATTTGCTTAGAATATTTATCTTTTATATATATTCAATTAAAATTTCCATCCTTTAATGGCTATACATTCAGCATGTAGTATAGAAGATGCACAGGACTTATCTTGACATCCAAAGATCCTTTTTAGCCTTTTCACTTATCACTGAATGAAATGCGTAAAATAAAAGAAAAAAAATATTAAAAAAAAATAAAGATCCGTTGAAACACACAAGAATTAAGACGGAATTTAACTTATCGGAAAATCAGCGACGACCTTTCATAGTCTAACGTCAATCATGTAGTAGACGTTTATCATTGTTAATTCCCTTATCGCTTATCGATTATTTTCTTATCGCATTCCAACCTATACTGAGGTACATTATCTTGAAACGTATCCATGTTGACAAATGTAGAAAAGGTATGAATGAGACTGGATATCTTCACAATACAAGAGATGTATTTGACCGGTTTCGATTACGTCTTCAACAGAAATACATGTATTTCTGATGAAGACGTAATCGAAACCGGTCAAATACATCTCTTGTGTTGTGAAGATCTGATGAAGACGTCATCGAAACCGGTCAAATACATCTCTTGTGTTGTGAAGATCTGATGAAGACGTCATCGAAACCTGGCAAATACATCTCTTGTGTTGTGAAGATATCCAGTCTCGTTCATACCTTTTCTACAAAAGTACGTGACCTTGCAGCATCCAGACGGCGGGGGTGACGGTGGAGCAGCTGGACTTCCCGCCCCTGGTGCTGGGCGAGGGACCCTACTGGATCGAGAGCCTCCAGGCGCTCATGCTCGCCGACGTCTACAGCAACATCCTCAGGAGGCGCTTCTTCCCCTCCGGCAGACACCAGGTCCTCCACCTTGGTGAGTCTTTGGGTCTCGTCTCACGGTGCGGGGGAAAGCACGTCTCTGTTTCTGTTTCTTTCTTTCCACGAAGAATATAAAGCTAATTCTCATCGTACATCCAAGTTAGCGATTAGGCAATCACCACATCACCTCCACCCCCCCTCCGAAGGCGTTGGCAGCGCGTGGCAATGCACTGCTTGGAGTGGCCATGTGACCTCTTGCTCCTCGACCCAGGGTGCCCCTTGTCGCTCAGAGGTCGTCCTCCTCAGACCGAGTGAACCCTTCGCCCGTTGCCCGGATCTCGTCAGGATCGCTCCGTGTCTCAGAGATTTTTTCCACTTTCTCAATCTCTGTTTAGGATGCGCAGGACGCTAAGTTAGCGCACATCACGCATATCCTGTTGGGTGCTGGGATGAGGGAAAGGATTGGGATGAAAGTGGAGATGCTTGTTTTTGTTAGATGTTTGTTTAATTTGTCCACGAACGTTTTGTACTCCTGTTTCTATAACGTATGGTTGTCTGTTCCAATGGCGTTTGGTGCGCGGAAAGAATGGGTTCCTCTAATGGTGCGTTCGGAACTGCTCGTCCATCTCGTCCAGACCAGTTGGATGAGATGTTTTGACCGTTCGGAACCTCCACCATCTCGTCCCGGACAAGTAGTCTAGCTCGTCCAACTCGCCCTCCTGTGAAGGTGGCCGAGCAGGACGAGATGACGTCACAATAGATTTTGTATGTAAACATTGACAGTTGCAGGTGACCACAAGATATTGGTGGGTAATTTTATGACCCTTTATTGGTGTTATCAAAGGACATTTTTGTGTTTGTCAGTTGCAGGTAAGTTAAATGTGCATCAAAGGAATTACAAAACCTATGCAGCGTGTAAAATAAAGACACCGGTATGATAAAAATGTGAATGTTTACATTCGAGCCGGTTGCATTCTGGGCAGAAAGGGCCTTGGAGGTTCCGAACGCGGCGCATCTCGTCCTGCTGGCCCTGGACAAGTGGTCTGGACGAGATAGACGAGCAGTTCCGAACGCAGCATAAGGGCCGGTGTTGGTGTGAATTTCGGCCGCTACGTAGGACGATGTGCATGTCAGCTGTTGGTTGTACTGCGTGCAAGCGTATGCACTCGGAGTAGCTTCCTGTTATCAGTCCTAAATATCAGTCATGCTGTAATAAGCAGCACTCGCGCAAATACCTCCTGACCGGCAGAACCTTCTTCTCCTTTGCACGCAGACTCGACTGGCGACCCCCTGGACGTGATCACGGCTGCGATCCCGGTGGAAGGCGAACGCAATATCTACGTGGGCGTGGAAGGGAACCACATCACGCTCCTGCATTGGGCGACCTATGACCCCGACGACCACAATGCGACCTCGAGGGTCATCCACACGACCGAGGACTATGCCTTCAACGATGCCAAGTGCGACCCTCGAGGCAGACTCTGGGCAGGTGAGTGCGAGGTCAAGGCGACCCTCAGTTCGCACTCCAGATATAAAATATATGGAAAATGAAGTAAATGGAAAGATAAATTATACACTTTCGGCGTCATCACTAACCTGTGTTTAAAGCAAATTCATGTTTTGATTTCTTGATGTAATATTCATTGATATCTATTTTTACTTACAAGAGGAGTGTTATATGGATAGATTTTTAAGCGTTTTAAATATATTAAGATTTTAGTCCCACAAGGTATTCGCCGCTAATGCCCTTGGCTGTTGACACGGCAGATGATTTTGGATCATCAATTAATCTCAAGCGCATCTTTGCCTTGTTAAAAATGGAGTATATTGTGATATAAAAGGTCCCACATATATAATAATGTTATGTACAAAAGATGAAATTATATGCACGATTCGTTCAGAAACTAGGAATATCATTTTAACTTTGTGCTGCAACAACAAAGATTTCACAAATATGTGAGAACACATATTGAGCACTGAGCACTAAGAAGCAAGCTGTGTTCTCTATTTAATCAGATCATCACACTGGCAATTCAGACAATCAAAGACTTCTCTATGGCGTTTCCAGCCTCTAAAATGTCTGAGGGTACCATCGTGGGCACCTGACCTCTATATCACTATTCCTGTGGGTAATACAGATGTATCTAACTTTTTGTGTGATGCCACCATATCTAAGCGTAAGACAGTAGAATGGTAATATCCTTTTCTTCAAGACGGCCATTCTTGACACCTAAGAAGGTTCGATGAGGCAGTAACAACTTCAGTTCCATCCCAGTCAAGAAGACCTGGCGCAGGACCTGCTATCCCCGATACTGGCTGTCCATTTTGTGGAACAAGTCATCTAAGACCTGTATTGCTAGCAACTCCACCTGCGAGGTCTGCACCTGGGAACCTGTGTTTATCCCCCACCAGCTCCAACATCAGCAGGGAACAGTTAGTAACAGTTACAAATACATACTTTCTACCTACTGGCAGGCACGGTAGCTCCTTTGGACGAGAATGTGCAGGTGACGGAGGTCAACACCTCGGGTCTCTACAGGATGGACAGCAACCTTAAAGTGTCCAAGTGGGCTACGGTAAGGCTTGATATTACCATCGTAGTTGCCAATTTGAGGGAAGATCAAATGAATTTCTTAAGTAAATATAAGGATAGTTAAAAACTGGAGAGAGAAGAATAGGAAAAAGGAAAAGGAGTGCGTGTAAGAGGGAGAGTGAGAGGGAGGGAGGGAAGGGGAGAGAGAGAGAGAGAG